TCCCCAGGGGAGCTCAGCTAGCCCCCTAAGAAGGTGGTACCTTCTCCCACAGAGCAGGAGCTTCAGGCTCATTCACCAGAACACCCTGCAAAGGTGGAACTATTTCCAGTCCCTCAAGGGACCCTCCTCACCTTCTACAGCCCCCTGAGAACATGGAATCTTCTCCAGTCCAACAGGCATTCCCAGGCCTACCTCTGGAACCCCTTAAAGAGACAGAACCTTCTCCAGCTGAGCAGGAGGCCCCATCTCAGCCTCCAGCACCACCTAAGGAGGTTGTAGCACAAACTCCAGTGCATTATGAGATGACAATTCCAACAGTAGGACAGGATCAAGCTCAGCATTTAAACTTGCCCAGAGTCACAGTTAATCCTTTGGACCAGGGTCTTCCCACAGCTCCAGAACCTACAACGGAGGCTGAATATTCTGCAGCCCTGCAGCAGACTGCATTTCCTCCAACATAGCCCGAGGTGACATTTCCAAATGCAGAGCAAGTTCAGGCTCAGCATCCAACCTTGACAGAGGTCACAATTCAACCTTTGAACCTTGAACTGACCATAAGGCCACAACCCACTAAGGAGGATGAACCTTCTCCAACCATGCAGGATAACTTAACACAGCCTCCAGAACCACCTAAGGAGGTTTTTGTAGCTCAGCTTCCAGTATATCAGAACCCAATAGTTCCAACACCAGAACAGGATCACACTGAGCGTCCAGCATCACCCAGTGTCACAGTTCAACCTTTAGACCAGGGGCTTACCACAACTCCAGAACCTACTATGGAGGGTGAACATTCCACACCCCTGCAGGAGACTATAGATCCTCCAACATACCACGAGGTGACACTTCCAAATCCAGAGCAAGTTCAGGCTCAGCATCCAACCTTAACTGAGGTCACAGTTCAGCCTTTGGACCTGGAACTTATGTTAACTCTGGAATCCACTTTGGAGGTTGATCCTTCTCCAACCATGCAGCAGACCCAAGCTCAGCCTCCAGAGCTCATTAAGGAAGTCGTAGCTCAGTCTCCATTATACTCCAAAGTGACAGTTCCAGCGCCAGATCAGGATCATGCTGAGCATCCAGTATCACCCAGTATCACAGTTAAACCTTTGGACCTGGAACTTACCACAACTCCAGAACCTACTACAGAGTCTGAACATTCTGCAGCCTGGCAGCAGACTACAGCTCCCCCCTCCAAAACACCCTGAGATGACACTTGCACAGCCAAACCTGACTCAACTCACAATTCAACCTATGGATGTGGAAATTACCATTACTGCAGGATGCAATATGGAGACTGTACCTTCTCCAATCATGCAGCACACCCCAACTCAGCCTCCAGCGGCACCTCAGTATGTTGTACTTCAATCTCCATTCCAACAGGAGGTGACAGTTTCAAATCCAAGTAAGGATCAAGGTCAGCATTCAACATCATCCAGCGTCAGAGTTCATGATGTGGACCTAGAGCAAACCACCACTCCAGAATCCACTATGGAGGCTGGACATTGTACATCCCTCCAGCAGACTACAGCTTCCCCTCCAAAACACCCTGAGGTGACACTTGCACAACCAAACCTGACTCAAGTCACAGTTCTACCTGTGGGCCTGGGAGTTAGCATATCTCAGCAACCAATGCCATCTGAGACAGTTCTTTTTCCTTCGACTCAGTATTCAGTATCCACAGGCCTTCCTGGTGTAAAATATACCCCAGAAAAGAAGCAGCCGGAACAGAATGCCACCACGAACATCAGCATATGTGAGCTGTGTACCTGCACAAATGAGACGCTGTCGTGTGTTGGTCTCAGCCCAAAGCAGAAGCTCCACAGAGTGCCTGAGCCAGAGCCTGACGCCTACAACGGCACCTTCACCCTCATGTAAGATTCGCCTCTCCTCATTTGTTCTCTGCATCTTGCCTGACATGGCAGCCTTTCTTCAGGTCTTCCTGGGTCCTCCTTTTCTCCCAATCCACACTGACTGACTTTCTGTTTTCACCTTTTGTTTGTCAATGATTCCCATCTTCCTTCTCCTCCTTACCATTTTTCCCTCTCCTCCAGTCTTTTACTTTTACTTGCCCTTATTTTTTCCTTCTCCATTTTTTACCCCATTATTTAATTCCTTAACACCTAATCTTCTCTCATCTTTATTCCATCGTCTTTACAGCAACATGTCCCTGTCCCCATCTCATTGGTGGTAATACAACAAAGTGGTTAAGGGTAGAAATTCCGGAGCCAGACTAACTGGGTTTGAACCCAGGTCTGTCATTTATTAGCTTTATGACTCAATTTCCTCATCTGTAAAATGGGGATTATGGTAGTCATCATGTCATAGTATGACTCCTATGAGTCCTCAATCTCCCAATGACTCCAATCTCATTGGGAGATTTAGATGAGTTAATATAGGTAAAGCTCTTCTATCAGTGCCTAACATATATTTTAGTGTAGCTGTTATTATTATTCCATCCCTCAGTTATATCTAGAACTCAACTTTGTCCCCTGGCTTTCTATATGCAGCACCCATTTTGTGCCCAACCCAGGGCTAAGTACTTTAGGAGGCACAGAAGTATATGGCATTGTCTCCAGAAATGACAGTGACAAGTTGGAAGAAAGGGGATATGCCTTAAAAGGGAGGTAATATATAATTAAGTATGAAGAGAAATACAGATAGGTGGTGTAATTCACCAGAACCTGTAATCACAGGGGTGTGGAGGTCACGGAAGGCTGCATGGATAAGCTCAATGTTTAGCTGGGACTTAAAGATTGGCTGTGATTTGTCAGAAAAATAATAGGCAGTACAGTCTAGGCAAAGGTGTGACTGCAGGGATGATCAGAATTTAATAGATTAGTCTGGCTGTAAATAATTGGGTTAGGTAACAATGAAAGATAGGATTATGAAAAACCTTGGCTATCGGCAATCCAGGTTTGAAAGTTCCACTGTAAGATATGGGGAGCCACTGCAAGTTTTCAAGCAAGAGAGACAAATGATGAAGACAAGAGGCTTATTTTAAACACGAAGATGGGTAAGACAGGATTCCTTTTAGCAACTCATGATCTCATAGGCAAAATAAGCATATAAGCTCAAACCATAATGACAAAGTGCTGTGGAGGCACCATGAAGTAATAAAAGTACATTTCTTCTAAAACAGTCATTTCCTCCTTCTATCCATTCCCCAGCTATTTGTTGATTTTATAAATATTTGAGTTTGCTTTATGTCCACGCGTTGGCTTTAAGTATGATAGACGATGCACATAAGCAGGACCTAGTCCATAGTTTGAAGGAGTTTATACTCAGGAAATGGGTTGCAAAAAGAGCTATATTTAAAGAAAGAAATGAATATGGGCAATGAGAGCTACAAGTTGGTACTGGAGCGCAAAAGAAGGATAAAAGACTTCAAATTGGATCAGGGAAGATGTTACTAGAGCAATGCTGTTTAAACGGGACCTCGAAGGGCCATTGGGTATCAATGACAGACATCTTGGGAAGAATAAGGTTGCAAAAGGAAAGTGGGAGAAAGGCAAAACACAGGAAAAATACTCTGAGTACCTGTAGAGTACAAGTGGGAAGAGTAGGGGATTAGAGCCAGATCATCTAGGGCTTTGGAGGCCAAGCCAAGGATAACATGCCAAGCTAGCATGTTACCACAGCAGTGCTTTAGGACAAGCATTAGCCTGCAACAGAACCAGCCACCTGGAGGGCTTGTGAAAACACAAGCTCCACCCCCACAGTTACTGATTCAAGAGGTCCAGAGTAGGGCTGAGTATTTGTATCTTCATTAATTCACAAGTGATGCTGGTATTTCAGAACCACTTCCGGAGAGTTAATCTGGGGATCGCGTGGAGGGTGGCTTAGAAAGGGAGAGGGTAGAGATGGAAACACCAGTCAGAAGACAGTTATACCCATCCAGGTGAAATGAGAGACTAAGCTGGAATCAATGGAAATAAGATAGTCAGCTATAGTCAAGAGTAGGTATTTTCGAATAAAAGTCAAAATGATAGAAAGTGTAATCCTGAATTAACATTACATATTAATGATAGGAATAACTTCCTTTCAAGTTGTGTGAAAGGTTATCTTTTATTTCTTCTGGTAATGAATTGGCGTAGAAAAGCAGAACTATACTGGGAAGTGTGTAAATATAAGAATATTCCTTTTAATAGAAGAAATTATAATGATATATAGAGATAAAAACTTTGGGCTCATAATCTAGAATTTGATTAGACCACAAAAGTTGGAATCTAATCAATGCTGCTTCTCTCAGGAAAGATTACCTCCAAAATCTGTCAGGATCTATAGTTGTATATTTAATTTATGAAGATCCTGAATGTGAGACTTTTAAGAGAGGTGAAGGCAGGGTTAGGACCTCTGAAAGGTTCAAATAGTAATTCCTAAGGTTTGGAGTTTAGAACAAAGCTTCTTATTTATTATTATCATTCTAACCTCTACTAGTTATTCCTACTAATTAGATGCCTAATAGCAAATTGAAGCAATATATTCCTTTTAATTTTCCTAGAGATTTTTCCTGCAATAAAACAGCATCTGTCGAAAAAATTACATTAGAACTACTACCTTTTTTGCAGTTTATGTAAGTTACAAATATAACTTCATTATATTTGGAATTTTTATAAAGCTTAATTTTTTATAAAATTGATTTGTTACTCATTTTGAAAGATGATTAAAATTACCAGTAAAATTTTGTAGCAAATCCTTTTTGTCTCTAGCAAAGATTAGTGTGAGAATTATTACACAGGTCAGAGTGAATCATTAGAGAGCAGTGGTTCTCACCCAGGGTGATTTGGCACGCAGGTGACATTTGGTAGTGTCTGGAGACATTTTTGCTTGTCAGATCTGTATATGCTACTGACATCTAGTGGACAGAGGCTAGAGATGATAGTAAACATCCAAGAGTGTGCAGGAGAGCCTCCCACAGCAAAGAATTATCCAGCACTATGTCTATAGTGCTGCCTTTCTAGAGAAATAAAGATCACTTAACACAAGTATTTAATGAGCATTTACTAGTTTGTATCTAATGCACCACATATATAATCATGAAAGTATAAATCATAATATCTTCCACAGTGAGATTTCTTCAGTGCATGGAGGGAGTAGTGATGTTATGTTTCATCGTATATAAATTAGAATTATTGCCAAAGGATAAATATTCTGAAAGTATATATATTTTTCTTTTTATTTTGCTTGTGTCTTTCTTTGTAGAAATCTTGGTTGCAGTTTACTCACAGAACTGAGCTTTGGAACGTTTCAGGCCTGGCATGGAATGAAGTTTTTACACAAGTAGTAAGTGAAATAGAAGATGAATACATGTAAGAAACTGTCTATAAAAGCATCATGCAGTTATTGGTTAGCTGGGTGTAAGCCCAGTATGAATTCTGGTAAGGATGTCTTGAGAGCCATTTATTTTTTATTTTTTTCAAATGAGGAAACTTAGGTACAAAGAGGCCAAGAGACTTGTTTAACTCATATATGAAACCCTCTGCTTTCCATAGTACTGAACTTTGGCTCGGGCAATAAAAGGCACCAAGCCGAAACACTCAAATTAGCATTGTCATGGAAACCCACCGATGCCTCTCCAATATGCGAATGGCCCATGAAGTTCCACTTTTGAATTTAACTTTGATTCCTGCTCATGTGCAAAGTTCCTAACTGCTTAAAATGTATGCAACACAGAGCTGCAAAGAACTAAGTTTAGCACCGAATTCGTCAGGGAGCAAATGGTGTGGGTGCTTCCCCAACCATTATTAGCTCTTTTAAATGGTAAAGCAGAAAGAATTCCTGAACACCCACCACAGGGCATTCCCCAGTCACCCAGAACATTATTTTTCAAAAAGCATATATCTCTGAAGTGTAATGTTTGTGGCCAATAGGAACCTTTGAGATATGGAAAAAGACGTTGTTTGTGTTCAGCTGTAG